GGATGGATTGCCGTGGTCTAAGCGAGGCAATGAATCTATTTGGGTGATAGTGGATCGACTCACAAAGTCTGATCATTTTATTCCTATCAGTGTTCACCGAACTGCAGATGAACTGGCTAGGCTATATATTCGAGAAGTGCTGCGACTTCATGGCGCACCCGTTTCTATAGTTTCAGATCGTGATCCATTGTTTGTGGCAGAGTTTTGGGAGAGTTTTCAACATGCTTTGGGTGCTAGGTTCGACTTGAGCACGGCTTATCATCCTCAGACAGATAGGCAAACTGAGCGAGTAAATCAGATCTTGGAGGATATGTTGAGAGCTTGTGTCCTCGATCTTGGTGGTAGTTGGAAAGAATACTTGCCATTGGTGGAATTTGCTTATAATAATAGCTATCATTCCAGTATCGGGATAGCACCTTTTGAGCTTTGTATGGGAGGCCATGTCGATCACCTGCTTGTTGGATAGAGGTAGGAGATGCGCCGAGTTTAGGTGATCCTCGGATTGTGGAAACATGGGTTAGCTGGTTTAGGTTGGTGGTTGAATTTATTCTAAATATTCATGAACGAATTCTTCTTGTGTGTTAACTTGAAGGAGATGGCTGGAAGGTACCTTTAATCTTTTTCGAGAACCCATTAGAGTACTTTTTGATACTGGTGCCTCTTATTCTTTCATATCTAGGCAGTTTGTAGAAAGAGAACGTATTGTAACTACCTCATTGTCTAAACCTATTCGTGTAAAGACCCTTTTAGGAGGGGCAGTTACTCTTTATGAGATGTGTAAAGATTTTGAGATTGACTTTGCGGGTAAAGTCTTGTATGCGGACCTAATTGTTTTAGGGTTTGAGGGGTTTACAATTATTTTGGCTATGGATTGGCTGCGAAAACACTTTGTGACTCTAGATTGTGTTGGAAGGACTGTAAATATAGATATTCCTGGTGTGCCACGGCTTACCCACACTTCTAACGATGGGGAAGAGTCGGTGATGACGAGTTTTCTATGCTCGGTAGAAATCCCTTAGTCGGATATTAGTGAGGTAGATATGGTGCGTGAGTTTGAGGATGTATTTCAGGAGATACCTGGACCTCCACCTTGACGGGTAATAGAATTTTGTGTTGACCTAGTGTCGGGAACTGCACCAATTTCTAAGGCGGCATACAAAATGGCGCCTAAAGAGCTTGTGGAAATGAATAAGCTGCTGGAAGAGTTGCTTCAGAATGGGTTCATTCGTTCAAGTAACTCCCCGTGGGGAGCACCTGCGATCTTTATCTCCAAGAAAGATGGCACTCTCCATATGTGCATAGATTACAGAGAGCTGAACAAGGTGACTATCAAGAACAAGTATCCACTACCTAGAATTGATGATTTGTTTGATCAGTTGAAGGGGGCGGGCATTTTCTCTCAGTTTGATCTCAGAACGGGTTACCATCAGATGGGTGTGTCAGAGGAAAGTATACCGTTTACTGCTTTTCGGACCCGGTATGGGTTGTACGAATTTCCTGTAATGCCTTTTGGTTTGACCAATGCTCCTGCCTTGTCACGCCCCAAACTTGCCCCTAAAAGTTTGGGCATGACCTACACAGAAACGGACGCATAACCTGATGATATCCTGGTGTATTCTAAGAATGAGGAGGAGCAAAGAGAACACTTGAAAGTCATGTTGTAAACTTTGAATGAGCAACAGTTATACGCTAAGTTCAGTAAGTGTCACTTTTGGAAGAAAGAAGTTCGATTTTTGGGACATGTTGTGTCCAATCAGGTGATAGCGGTAAATCCTGAAAAAGTTGTTGCGGTCAAAAAATGGAAGCAGCCCCAAACCCTACAGAGGTGAGAAGTTTTTTAGGACTACTTACCCAAAAAAAAAGGTTTTTAGGACTAGCAAGTTTTTCTCTTAACCTGTTCAGTTTCTGTTAAATTCGTTTGCCTTGTCTTTTAGAAAATTTGATTCTGCACAACTTTCGTTTTTTGAGTTTTGGTCAATTCAAATTATTTAAGCAAGAAACGGTGCATTTTTATACTTATTCAACGAGTTACTTATGATTAAATTATACTAACTTATTTTTTTGCAGGATGGTGGGTTTTACTAACTTTTTATGCAGGGCTGACCCACCATATTTTTATTTCTATTTTGTCTATTTTATAATCAATTTATATTTCGTTGTGTATGGATAAGAAATTAAATGCCACCGTATCTCGAGAAACTACCCATTCATCTCGGTACGGTTGGAACTAGTTGTCTTGTTCTGTAACAAGAAATAATGTACTTTTTGTTTGTGTCTGGTGAACACGTGGGTGTCAATTCTTGTACTCATACCAGTATACCTGTATACTGACCCGTTTTGTCTCTTGACAACTCGGGTGCGTTCTGTTTGTGCGCAGCTGAGCTTCCTTTGCAGGATTAGTAGAGGCTTTGGTGGTGACAAGAAATAACTGTGATCGTAGGACATGTCATTTGGAGTTCTTTTATTTTTCTTGAGCTTAGGGTTGATACTAATTTATGTATTTATTATTTTCTTTTAATGACTTTAGTATTGGAATAATTCGGCATGGTTTGTAACCTTACTTTATTTAAGTTGTTTTGACTATTTATTGTTACCTTGATGATGAGGTATTGGTTAGTTATGAATTTATGGTGGATGGTTTGGTTTGCATTTAGTTTTTTTTGTTTCACCCCTAAGATTTGGATGATGGAATATTGCACGGCTTATCATCCCCAGACAGATGGGAGGGTATTATGCGGTTCGGAAAAGGGAAAGTTGGCACCTAGATTTGTGGGACCATATGAGATCATTGAGAGGATTGGTAATGTGGCTTACAAATTAGCTCTACCACCTGCTTTAGCTATGATTCACAATGTGTTCCATATATCTTTATTGCTGAAGTGTGTACAAGACCCTTCCCAAGTAGTATCACCAGAAGTGTTGGAGATTAGTGCTGATCTAACGTATGTGGTGTGACCGGTTACTATTCTTGATCGGGATGTAAAGCAGTTGTGGCACAAGAAAGTGAACTTGGTGAAAGTGCAATGGAGCGAAGATGAGAACGATATTACCTGGGAGTTAGAAGAGAAAGTTCGGCATATGCATCCGGAACTTTTTGTTTAGTACTTTTTTCTATCGAATCTCGGGACGAGATTCTTTTGAGGTGTGTATATTGTAGCGACCCTAATTTTCTATAGTCATTATTTATTATTATTATGGTTATTATTATCTTATTTTACTTTTGACTTTATTAATTGTGTGGTTACATGAGATTTAATAATATTTAATGGATTTAATGATGTAATTATTAATTGGGTGGTTACATAAGGTTTAATGTGATATCTAAGGCATTTAATGTTGTAATTAATAAATTTACTGCATATTATAGTTTATTAAGCTATTATATATTGAGATTTAGGTTTATAGTATAATATTATTAGGTTATACTAGCTCTTAGGTTATTATATATATAATAACATAGAAGTATTCAACTAGGTTTAGGAGTTAAAAAGGAAAAGAGAGAGACCAAGTTGTGAGAGAGAGAGAGAGAATATATATAATAACATAGAAGTATTTCAACTTGGTTTAGGAGATCAAGCGGGGAAGAGAGAGAGAGAGAGAGAGAGAGAGAGAGAGAGATCAAAGAAGACAAAGAAAGGGGCGGCAGCAAGGAAAAAAGAGGAGAGGGAAGAAAAGGAAAGATTAGGGTTTTGTTTTGGTGACTCTAGTAGTTTTCTAAATATTCTTTGATCTTCAATAAAGTATTGTGAGTACAAAACCCACTTCACTTGATTTATGTTTAATTCTTGTTTTTTTTTGGGTGAATAAGACATAATATAAAAAAAAAATAGAGATTACACAGCTACAAGGGGCATACCCCAGGACCTAACGAAACTATACAAGAACAAATGAAAGAAGCCAAAACACCCAACTAGCAAATAAAGCCGAAAAAGAACAGCTATTAAGACTCAAAACAAAAGGAGAAAGGAAAACATAACATGGGAAAAATTATAACCCCCAAAAAATATGTTCATAAGCCGCATACATGCGAATGAGGACCATGAACACATCCAAACAACAGCCCATATCTGAATCGTAGCCAAACAGCCCACAACACGGGCAAACTAGTAGAAATCACAAAGCTAAAAAAAAACCATGTACATCCCACACGGTTAGGCCAAAAGTAATGACAACCCAACAAAACATCCATAGTCCAAACACAGTGCTTTAAAATAAAAATAAAAGAAAGACAAGCATCCACAAAGGCGCTACAAGCAGCCATCACCAAGTGCCAGTAAACTCGCAAACCCAAACTGTCCAACATCTTAGTGCCATCAAACCCGCAGCAAGCAAGGAAGGTACGAATCTGTCTGTCCATACCACCCCAATAGAACTCAAACATTGTAGTAAACCCAGTGGGCATCAAACACAATCTGTCCAGTAACGGAGTTCCGACACAACACCAGCCATCAAACAAATAACAAATATCCCTTTCCATGCAACCACCGCAGAGCTTAAACATTGTAGTAAACCCAGTAGAAACAGTCATGAATGAGTATTTCCAGCAATAACAACAAGAACATAACATAGAAATAGTGCGCTCAATGTAGGATCTCTCATCACTCGGCCCACAATTTAGGGGCTCACACCACTCAAAAAAGCATCCTTAACCTGCACATAAAAATTTACAATATATATAGGCATTAGCAAAAATATGATGGCTAAAATCACTCGACCCACATGTAAACTGAAAGATATGATAATAACTCCCATCACTCAACCCTCAAAAATAGATAGCTCCACATAAACCACCGGATTACACCTGCAAAAAACCAAATAAATTAGAACCCTCCTTTAAGCTCACCATCACTCAACCCACTTATAGTGAACTCACATCACTCAGCAGCCCTCCCATATTTGATGCTATGGGGCTTCAAAATTGTCTCTGGCAAATTCCATTGAGCTAGAAACCAGCTGTCACCAGTGGATCTAGGAATATTCTTAACAGACAACATTCTATTTCAAACCATTTGGATAACAGATTTAATGACCACCTCTTCAGGTTTAAATTCTTTGTTAAAAATTCTGTTATTTCTTTCAACCCAGATAAAGTAAACAGAACATAAGAATGCATTACTGATGATGTTGACCCTCAATGAGTTACCCTTGGTCTCCTTAGTAGCATAAGTGACAATGTCAGGCCAACCTAAAACAGGCCACTTAATGTTACAAACAGCTTCAATAGCACACCAAACTCTACTAGAGAAGATGCACTTAAAGAATAGATGTGAATGGCTTTCCTCAGGGATGAGGCAAAAAGGACATTGAGAGCTTGTGGCCAGGCCAAACATACGAAGTCTATCACCAGTATAAAGTCTATTGTGAAGAGCAACCCAGACAATAAAATTGACTTTAGGAATCCTATTAGGGCCCCACACAAGCTTATGCCAAGTCACTTTATCAAATTTCTTGCGCCAATGATTCCAAGCTGATTGAATGGAAAACTGACCATCAGTAGTAAGTTTCCAAAGAGCTGTATCAGTACTAGAAGGGTTAGGTTTACAGCCCACAGGAGTAGAGGATATTAACTCCTGAATTTCCCAAGAATTGGGAAAAGGCCACTTCCAGGAAGAACCATCAATGATTTGACTGACTTTTGTTTCACAGTTAAGGGCAGAATAATAAATAATTCTATCCCCGAATTTATTCCATAGCGGCCCAAGAGGGCGCCAATTATCATACCAAAGGAAAGTAGCTTCCCCACAACCAATTTTATGATTAATCAAAGGAGAAACCCAATCTCTAAGGGACAATAATTTCCTCCACACCCAAGAGGGATCATTTGGAACCTTGACTTTCCAAAAACTCTTTCCCTTTAATAAGTAGGATTTGACCCATTGACACCACATCGAACCCTCGCCCCCAGAGAACAAAAACCAAATGTGTTTAGCAATGGCCGCTCTATTCCAAATATCTAAAGATTTAAAGCCCAAGCCCCCCTCATTTTTAGGAGCACATACAGAATCCCAAGCAATCTTGGCACTATGTGTTTTAAGATCAGTACCAGACCAAAGAAAGGCTCTAAGAATACTATCAATCTCCCTAATAACCTTCTTGGGAAGAATGAAGAGGAAAGACCAATATACTTGCATAGAAAAGAGAATGGATTGAATGAGCTGGCTTCTACCAGCGTAAGACAATGCTCTATTGGTCCAATTCTTCACTCTTTTGGTGGTCCTATCAATGAGAGGGACACAATCAGATGCCCTCAACTTAGTGGTAATCAAGGGGACACCAAGGTACTTAACGGGAAGAGTACCTTCTGTAAATTTAGCAATCTCAAGAATAGAAGCTCTCAACCCCATATCACAACCCGAAAAGTAGATGTTACTTTTGCTGAGATTAGGAATTAGGCTAGACAGGGATGAAAATTCCTTAAGGCCTTCCATAGTAAGCTTAACAGTAGAGGCATCTCCTCTGCTAACGATCATGAGATCATTAGCAAAGCAAAGATTGATGATTTTTGTCTTCTCACACTTCCAATGAAACTTAAAGAGTGGATGCTTAGCTTTCTTAGCCAAGATTTTGGCCAGAATTTCCATGGCCAAAACGAATAAATAAGGGGACATAGGATCACCTTTTCTTAAACCTCTAGCCCCTTTAAAATAGCCATGAAGGCTCCCATTGATGCAAATTGAAAATGAAGGGCTGGTGATGCAGGCCTTGATCCAAGAGACCATGACAGGAGGAAAGGCCAACGCCTTGAGAATATCGATAATAAATTCCCATCTCACACTATCATAAGCTTTCATGATATCCACTTTCATGGCACACTTCAGATTAGGGGACTTTCTATGATACCCCCTCATGAGCTCTTGGGATAGGAAAATATTGTCAGGAATTCTCCTACCCTGAACAAAAGCTGACTGGACAGGGTCTATAAGATCAGGGAGAACAGATTTAATCCTATTAGCTATGATCTTGGCATTGCATTTGTAAATAGTGTTGCAGCAGGAAATGGGTCTAAAATCACCCACTCTGACAGGGTTAGGGACTTTGGGGATGAGAGCAATAATGGTACTATTGACTTCAGACAGAAGCTTACCAGACTCAAAAAAAGTTCTAATGGCTTGAATGACATCTCTCCCCAGAATCCCAGGATGTCTTAAAAAAACCAGCAGAGAAGCCATCAGGGCCAGGGGCCTTATTAGCTTTAAGAGACCAAAATGTGTCCTTGATCTCTTTATCAGTCACAGGGCTAGCAAGAACTAGAGATTGATCAGGAGAGATTTTGGACTTAACAAGGGACTGAATTCTGTCATAACCATTATATTGGTCATCAAAAGGGGTACCAAATAAGCCTGAGAAAAATTTGGTGAATGCAGTTTGGATGTCCTCGGATTTAGAAGATTTTTGGCCATCCATCATCTCAAGATTTAAAATTTTACCCCTATTGATATTACCCTTAATAGTTTTGAAGAAGAAACTGCTATTTCTATCCACCTGACTAAGCCACTGGACCCTAGATTTCTGGTGAGCCAAACTCTCTTCAACAGCCAGGAGGTCAACATGTTGTTTATAGATATTGCGCTCAAGTTTTTGCAGATCATTATTACTATGGTCCTTATCCAACTTACACTGAGCAGAGAAGAGCTCAGATTTTGAAGTTTGGACTCTAGTAGTAATATCACTAAAGTCTTTCTTGTTCAGAGCCTTTAATTCAGGCTTCAAATATTTCAATTTTTGGCACACCCTGAACATAGGAACACCATGAATATACTGATTCCACACTCTAGAAACCACAGAGCTAAAGTCCTTATGGTCAGCCCAAAAGTCAAAATATTTAAAGGGTTTCTTAAAAGAAGTCACCTTATCAGAGACATTGACCACAGCAAGAGAGTGATCAGATATACCAGAGGGTAAAAAGGTAGCAAAAGAGGCAGTAAAGGTATCTAGCCAAGCCTCATTAACAACACTCTATCTATTTTGGTTGCAATGTAGTCCCCACTAGTCCTCTTATTAGCCCAAGTAAATTGGCAACCCCCATAGGAGAGATCAACCAATTCAGATTTCAAAATGTATGAATTGAACTCCTCTTTATCCTTAGACCAGCGTACAGAACCCCCAAATTTCTCATAAGGGTATCTGATAGCATTAAAATCCCCAAGTATCACAATAGGAGTTTTGTACTGCAAAAGGGATATAGTAGCCATATACTCAAAAAGGCCGTTTCGAATATCAGGTTTATTGTCAGCATAAACAAAACAGACTTTTAACATATTATCAGAAGAAAGGTCTTGAACTTCACAAAAAATATATTGATCAGAGGCAAATAACAAAGTAACCTTACAAAAAGCTGGGCCCCAGCAGACACAGATCCGCCCAGATTTAGGAGGTTGCGAGTTTGTCAAAAAGGGCCAATTGTTTATACTAGAAAAATCTGCTGTTCATTTAAAGCTTTTATTTTCGTTTCCAAAATGCCCAAAATTTTAATGTCTTCATTCAACAAAAATTTTCGAACTTCTTTATGTCTATGAGGATTATTAAAACCTCTAACATTCCAAGATGCAATTTTTAAAGACATTAGAAATAACAAAAATTTTAAAACCCACAAACCAGCTAAACTGGGATTTACCTGCGTTTCTTCCTCTGGCTTTTGTTACCTTTGCCAGAGGAGTTACCTTTTGCCTTAGTGCCAAGTTGGGCCTGCATGGTGGCTAAACTACTAGGAGTGGTTTCCACTAGTTTCTCCACTTTAGCCATCAATTCTGCGTCATTGGGAAGAACCAAACTGGTAATTTCCAGCAATCCCTTATGCAAAGCCTCCAAACCATCCATTTTGGGGACCTCTATCTCCCCCCCAGTTGGACTAGACGCTGCTATAAGGACTAGATTAGCCAAGTTTTCCTCAGGCTCCTCCTGAAGAGACTCTTGCTGTTGACTTTGCCCCACATCAGGCTCCTGCAGACCATCCTCCTTCGAAGTTGCAAAATTTTCTATCACTGTAGGGGTTTCTGGGACATCCACCTTCCTCTTGCCCGTGGCCTTGACAGTTTCCCATCTAGGATCTGGGTTGTCTTCTGTTTGTTTCTGGAGATTGATCAAGGCAGCCACTTGAGTCTTAACGCATTTAGTAGTGTCATGCCCAAAGACTACACAGTGGTCACACTTAGGGGGTAAACCTTGATATTCAACCCTAACTACAGCAACTTCATCCTCACAATTGACACTGAACATCAATGGAAGGTTGGATGTTGCATCAACCTCAACACAGACCCTAGCAAAGGACACTCTACTACCCTGTTCTGTAAGTTGGTCCATAAATAACGGAGTACTTACAACACTTGCAATCCGGCTGAGCCCATCGTTATCCCAATACTCAAAAGGCACATTGAAAAACTTAGCCCATACTGGAACCGTAGTAGCCTTTTCCTTTGACAGCTTCATCATCCAAGTCCATTTTTTCAGAAATAGGTTTGAACCACCAATGTACCAGGGCCCTCCTTCAAGGACGGAACTGCAACAATCAAGGCTCTCAAAAATGAAGAAGCTAAAGCCTTCTGCATTTGCTAGGCCTTCCTTCAAACCCTTGTTTTTTCATAAAGCAAAAGCACTATTTTTCAGGTAGTTATAAGATACCCCTTATCCAGAAAATACCCTACCAAACATGAGTCCCACTTCTCTAAGGGGTTGGGCCTTGGGGGAAGACTCAGGCTAACATAGCCATCACTACGAATAGGGGGAACATACCTCAAAGGAATGGTAGATCGAGATGAGGACGCTGCAACATCAGCCCAGGATTTCGTATTGCCTTGACCTCTACCTTCCCCTGATCCTCTACCACCTCTGAAATTTGAAAGTCCTCCCCTTCGAGAAGCCAAATCCTCATGACCAACATCACCGAAGTCAGCCGTCTGCAAAGGGGTCTCTTCAGTACCTTGAGCAACCTCTACAGAGACAGGATTCCCTTCCTTCTCTGTTTCTATAGGTAGATCTAACGGGTTAACGCCATGGCCCTTACCATCCAACCTGTTTCGAGCAACCAGGATACTATCAGAGAGGTTTTGAAACATAGGAGTTTCAAAATCCTTACGCTCAGACCATCGCACTGAGGATATAGAATCATCGATAGATGGCGATGTCATTATCGATGAAGACGGGTCTTTCAATCTCGCGAAACGATCTGCTACTCTCTAAAGATCTGCGGGTTGTACCATTGGAGCCCTTGGTTCTACCTGATTCAGGGCTTTCCCCACAACATCAGTGTCGTTAGAGTGCCCTAGATTCAAAACAACCTCGTCGATGTTATCCGTAATCGGATCCATGTTAGCTTCGCTCAAAATTCCAAATCTATTACTCACAAACCCTAATTTATCACTCACTTTTCCCACCTTAGGGACTATCTCATCTGTAACCCTTTCCCGTGAACCTAAAGGACTCTCAGGATTAGGCAACGCATTAACTCCGAACATCATTATCAATAAGGAATTGAAACCCTAGAAACACTGGTTTCTAGAGAGATGCGGGAGCTTCTCACTCTAACCCATTCCTATTTGGCTGATAGAGAGTAGAAAGTCTTTAATTCTTGTTTTTATCTATTTGTTTGATATTAGTTTGATTTTGTGTTTACATAAAGATGATAGATTAATTTTAATTATTTTGACTAGTGGGGTATGTAAAGTTTAGGGTTCTTAGATAATTGACTGATTTTAATTATTTTGTTTAGTTGTATAGGTAAGGTTTAGGGTTTTTATTGATTGAATTTAATTATTTTGATTAGTTGGGTATGTCAAATTTAGGATTTTTATATGGATTTATTTTATTGTTGTAATCACACTCATGGTTATATGAAATTTAAAATTAATTAGGAACCCATAGATAAATTCCTTATACTCCACCATGACGGTTGAAAAATTCTGTTCATCAAGTCCATGAAATAGGCAGGAGCATTGGTCAAACCAAAAGGCATTGCAGGAAATTCGTACAACCCATACCGTGTCCGAAAAGCAGTAAGCGGTATACTTTCCTCTGACACACCCATCTGATGGTAACCCGTTCTGAGATCAAACTGAGAGAAAATGGCTGCCCCCTTCAACTAATCAAACAAATCATCAATTCTAGGTAGTGAATACTTGTTCTTGATAGTCACCTTGTTCAGCTCTCTGTAATCTATGCACATACGAAGAGTGCCATCTTTCTTGGAGACAAAGATCACAGGTGCTCCCCACGGGGAGTTACTTAAACGAATGAACCCTCTCTGAAGCATCTCTTCTAGCTGCTTCTTCATCTCCACAAGCTCTTTAGGCGCCATTCTGTATGCCGCCTTAGAAATTGGTGTAGTTCCTGGCACTAGGTGTAGACACCCCATTTTTGACCGTCCTCAAGACTTGGACGTCACCGCTTGAACACTCGGTGATCATCCATGTTTGTGTTCGTCTTGAGTTCCCGGAGACCTCGGCTACGCGCCGTGCCTCAGGATCTCTTGACTCGACTGTTGTCTGTTTTTGCACCAAACACTTGTGTTTTGCCTTGGAGGGGCAGGGAATGGCTTGTGAGCCATCCCCACACATCACCGGCCATGGCTTGAGGCCACCGGCTGTGTTTTGCTACCACCGGCCAAATGTTTGGCCAGTCGGCACTATAGATGGCCGGCCGGCTATCTTTTTTTGGTCAATTTCACTTTTGGGCGACCGACTACTGTGCATCTGCTTTTGCAGATATTTTCATGCAGGTGGCATGCACTTGGCTCCCCTCCATACACGTATATGGAGGGATTTCCCCCTTAGCTAGCTTGTCTTGTAAGCTTACAAGATTGAAGCTCTATAAGAGAAGGCCTCCTCTCCCTCTTTAGAAGGTTAGACAACTTAGAGAGCATGGTTAGAGAGCTCTGGTTTTAGGTTAGGATTTGTATCTATCCTATATCTATATCTCTCTTCCTTTTGTGTTTTGTGTGTGTATTGAGCCTTAGTTTTACACACAAACACTCACCATCACACCTTCTCTTGGAGCTGAGGGCCTTGGGGGTTGTTTTGAAGTCTTGGAGGGAGCTGGTTTGAGCTCAAAGAACCAGCTGGTCCACCATTTTTGACGGGGGTCTACAAGGGTAAGACTTTTGTCCCTTTTTACCCCATTTTTGCAAAGCTTTTTAGCCTATCTTGCATCTATTTTTGAGCTTAGCATATAACACATAAAAGTCTTGTTTTTTTCTGCTCTAAATAGTTTGTTAAGGGTGTTTTAAGCTTTGGGGTTTTTTGTGCCATTTTGGTTGAGGTCCGGGACCATTGTGTTTGGGCCTCCTCACTACTGAAATCTTGAGGGATTTCAGTGATGAGGATGGTGCCTTGAGGTCTTAGGAAGGAGAGGGCCACCCCCTCTCCTTGTTGTCCTTGAAAAGGGCCCCTTTTTGCCTCTTGAGGGAGCATCTAGTCTAAGTGTGTGTTGGCCACGCCTTAGCTGATTTTCATGCTTATTATGTCATAATATGCCTCTATTTTTAGTTGGTTTGGACACACCTTGCTTGTTTAGCATACATGTCTTGTAATGCCATATTGTAGCCTTAACATGCATCTAGGTTTTAACCCTTGTTCAAGCATGCTTTTGGCCTAGCTTTGTGAAGTTTTTGTACTTGTTTTACCATGTTTAAGGTCTGTTTTTGGTTGGTTTAGTCAACCATAACATGTATTGCATAGCTCCTTTGCATTGTTAGCTTGTAGGCTTTAAGTATGTGAAGTGTTGAGCATGCATTGGTTGATTTATTTCAGTGGTTTGGCACTACTTATAGCATCATTTCAGTCCTCTTAGCATGCTTGTATGCTTGCATTTAATGCTCCTTCGATGAAGTGTTGAGTATGCATTGTTTGATTTATTTTAGTGGTTTGGCACCACTTATGGCATCATTTTAGTCCCCATGACATGCTTGTATGCTCGCCTTTGATGCCTCTTTGATGCCTTGAAAGCTTGTGTAGTATGCTCCATGTTTTGGCAACGATGCACGCTTTTGGATTTGAGCCATTTAGATGCCACCTAGATGTGTTGTTGGCTCTGTTTTAATATGTTAAAACTCTATTTTTGATCATTTAATTCATGCCATGTTTAGTTTTGTTAAGGGTAGTTTGATGCCTCCCTTAGCTTACCTTGGGTTTTGGATCTTGGTTGCATGTCTTGACTTATCCTGTTTAATTGATTTGGCGTCATATTTAACATGATTTCAGGGCTTAATGTGCATGCTAATTGTCCATGTTTAGTCTCTTTTAAGTGTGCTTAAAAGTTGCTTTTTATGTGCTTAAGTGTTGGCCTATTAACATGTGCATGTGTGTGTGTGTGTTGAACCTCACTTCCATAGCATTGGCCACTGTTTTAGGCTTGTTTGAGAGTCGCCTAATTTAGTTTAAGTCCATCCCTTTGTTTGTTGCATGCTCTCCTTGTATGTTGTAGCATATTAGTGAGTTGTTGCGCGATTGAAATCGCATGATTGAATGAAGTTACATGCCTGTTTGCATGCTTAAACACCTACATTGTGCCTTGCATACTTGTTAGTTGCATCGTCTCATGCCGTATGTCTTGCATGACCATTGAATGCCTTGTATGGTTCTTAGCATTGTCCATGTTGCATACTAGTTGACATGCTTAGGATTGTATTGCATTGGCATGCATGCTTCGCCTCTTGAATTGCTTGTGATAGAGGTTGAGTTCAATTTGCTTGATTATGTGCACTGCATTCCATATCAACATGCACACTTGATTCTTTGGGCCATTATGCATGGAAATGCGTGATTGGTGGCCCGAGAATCGAGGCCCATCCTCCTTTGAGTCATAAATATGATAAGGAATGTGATTGGTGGATACATTGCTTGAAATGCATTGCCATGCCAAGTTCTGTCCTCTGCTGCTGTCAAACCAGTTTTTGCTGGAAGATTTAGCCAGCCGGCCATCTTAAGTGCCGACCGGCCATCAATAAGCAGCCGATGGATTAATTTGTGGCCGGTGACCATTCGCCATGGCCGGTGACCAATTCCCTCAGCCGGTGGTGTTCTACAGGGCCGGCAATCTTAAGTGCCGACCGGCCATCAATAAGCAGCCGATGGATTAATTTCTGGCCGGTGACCATTCGCCATGGCCGGTGACCAATTCCCTCAGCCGGTGGTGTTCTACAGCACTCAGAGGAGCAACCTTGGGACGTGTGCAGTCTTTAGAGGAGGATAACAGCCAAAGTAGAGGCATTTTGTGCATGGTAGTGACTTTCCGAGCAGAACCGAGCGCGCATGCATTAGACCCTCCTCCCGAGGCTGTTGTTTACTGATTAATTAGATTAGTTAATTTGCTTACCTAATTTAATTGATTTGTAATATTTAATTGGCTTGTAGGTTACTTAAATTGTATTATTCTTTCAGTCTCTCCGAGCGAGGGCAAATTTGTAATAAGTGTGGGTGCGTGTGTGCATGTCTTCCAACCCCCACTTTTTTCTCCCTTTTACTTACCTGCTTTTGATGGTTAGTATTAGGACATGTTTACTTTAGCATACCTTATGCTATGCATGCGTGCGTTATTCATCAATATTGCATGCACCAGGCTCGGCGCATCATACTAACTGCATAAGTATTTCAAATCTAACTTGAATACATGCTACTTGTTCATTTTCACATATCATTTATAGACTAGCCGAGTCTACTCTAGTGATATTCCGTATGCGTTGCATTAGGCATTTAAACATGGACTTGGATCATGCATGATTGCTAACATGTTCTTGTTTTGGCACGGAGTACTAGGTGAGCACTTTATGCTTTAGCATCTCGCATAAGTGTGAACGTTAACATGATAGCATGATTACCATGAGGCTAGATGCTTATTTGATGAACTGCTTGAATGCCTGTGGGTGAAGGTTGGATTGTGTGAGTTGGGATAACTCGTTGAAATCTGTATTTTAGCCTACTTGTGAGTAGCAAATTCCAAAGCGTTTTCCAAACAAACGGATATGCAATGTTTTGTTCCAAATTAGGCGATCTAGTCTATACTTGTTTGCT